AAAAAGTATTTGATGGATCTTATTACTGCTTCACAAAAAACATTATTCTATCCAGTTTTATTTGTATATCACATTTTTCACAACATTACACTGTGTTGAAGCACTTTACACTGTCCCTGTCCAAAGCCCCCAGTGAGCAAGCCAGAGGCGACAGTGGCAAGAGAAACTCTTTTTGAGGATGATCTATAACTAATTTAATTTAGAGACAATTTGCCTCAAAAATGAAGCAGCAGCACTTGGTGGCAGCAGAGGACAGAAAGGGAGGATACAATCACTATCTTGTGAAAACAGTCATCTTCCAGGTGAATATATTCTGTGCGTCTCTTTCAAACTTCACAGGAACATTGCACAGGTTAGTGGTTCTCAAACGGGCATGAGATGATTTTCTGAATATTCTAAAATAAAGTTTATATATTAGCTTGTTTCCAGCTCCCATGCTCAGCAAGCTTCATAGGTAGTAGTCTGGAAGGCGAAATTTATCAAGAGGAGTTTGGTAAAAAATGATCATGTGGGAATTTATTTGTGTAGCTTAGTGCGAGTCCTAGTTACTGGTAGCACATGAAATAACACATGCAGGTCTGGTGAAATTCATTACATTGAGAAGTCACACAAAGTTGAGCTTTTGAAGATTTTTGGAGAGGTGAGGAGAGTGTGTAGGGTAGGCTCTGGTGATATTTTCAATATACCTAGACACATAACCGTCATTTCTGTTTCCACATAGTTTTCTACCGTGAAATATTTAACTGGCACTCGTTTAATGATATCATCTCCTTGCGCTTCTGATCCGATGCGTACCACCCGCCGTATTTGTACCTCACACGTCTGCGCGTGCGCAGCATTACACTTCATGGCAAATTTTACGATGGTGCCTGATTTGTACGACTTAGTTTCACAACACTTTCATGACTCAGCCTGATCCTGTTAGTATTTCTTTTAAAAAAAATATGTTTCAATATTCAGTATTCAGTTCTTCATATGCAATATAAAACTTATGAGACTGATAGTGATATAAAATGAACAGAAAACTACAATTAATCAGTTAGCCTAATCGCAATTATTTGTATGACAATTAATCATCATCTAAAATTTCTTGGTTCTGACTGCCCTAATTCTTCTCCATATTGCATTTGTTAACTTTTATAATCAAAAACACTCACTCAAAGCCCCAAAATACGACTAAGTGTTTTGGTCCTTCCGACACCCCCTTCAACCAGCAAACATCAGGTCATTTTAAAAAGTAAACTGCCATATTTTTTTGTAGGATTTATTAATTTATTTTTGGTTTATTATGTATAACACTATGCTATCATTTTTTTTCAGCTTCCTGTATTTTTTCTAGGTGTGTGTCTGCTCCAAAACCATTTTTATCATATCTGTTGTTTCTATAGTGCAAATAAACGCAAGGTTTTTCAGGAATGCAAATAAGGTGTTATAGGAGTACTTAATTACATAGGCTAATAGTATCATTTTTATAGAGTAGTGTTTTCCAACCCAGTCCTTGGGGACCCCCAGCCAGTCCACATTTTTGCTTTCTCCCAACTCCCAGCCAATCAAGAACACAGAGTACCTGATACAGGCATGTTGGGAGCTGGGAGTGAGTAAAAATGTGGACTGGCTGGGGGTTCCCGGGGACTTGACTGGGAATCACCGCTATAGACTAATCTGAGGAGGGATTTGTGGGTGCTGCCATCTTTGAGTGCTGTCATTACTACGGTGGCGCTTTGTAGCCTGCTGAAAGCGGCTGACAGTGACCGCAACATGAATAGATGGAATAATAACATTAGACAGTGGCCCCCAGTTACTGATCAAGCTACCATACATGGATGCCGATCTTCATGTTATTCAAATTCCACATATTAGTTAGACATTGGACATGACAATAGCCAGAAATGGAGAAAACAAAGCACTTTACCACCTGCCACATACTGTCCTGGAATTAACTGTATGCGAGTTGCATTTAACCGTTACAGACCAGTTACATCACTAAAAAATAAAAATATGATTTTATGTTTTTATAGGTATTCAAGATTATTTCATTAATAATCTGGCCCATGATAAACAACAAAATGCCAACTATTGGCATATTATTCTAAAAGGACAAGGGGCCGGTTACACAAAACACCTTAAGTTTTCCTCTTAAGTATGACACTTAAGGTTTAATTTTTCCTTAGCTAAATGATTTTTAAGGGTGTTGCACAGGACCGCTTAAAAGGTTTCCTTAGTTAAGGAAAAACATTATGAGATTTACAACATTGAAAGACGTTTTACAGCAGTAAAATTGTCCCGTTTCCATGGAGACCGTTCATATGCTTGCACTCGTTCATATGCTTGCTTGTGATACCCATTATCGCCTCACAAAGTTACTCACAAAGTAAAAAAAGAAATGTGAGAAAAGAAGACAAGAAAGCCAAATTGGTCAGAGGAGAAAAAGATTATACTTTTGGAGGAATACAATAAAAGAAAGAACATACTAAAAAGTAAATTTGATCCACAAATAACAGCAAGCGGAAAACAACGAATGTGGGAGGAAATTGCAATGAAAATTAATTCAAGGAGTCTGGTGAAAAGGTCCATCCAAGAGGTCCAACAAAAATACGAGAATTTATCTGTTCTGGCCAAAAAAGAGATCACTAATTACAGGAGAAAATGCGACAAAACTGGTAAGAACTCTTACCAGCTGACGTTAACTTCAGATAGGTTAAATGACTAACATGACTTAAGGGAACTGTTAACGTTAGTCTATGTTGTTGCCAGTGAAATAGATCTCTGTACATAAGTTGCTCATCTTCTTTCAACAAGTTATTATTACACATTAAGATATTTAAGGTATAGATACAAAGTAGACTGTAACGGTGGGTAACAACGTAAATACGTCGCCTAGCTATTACAACCTGGAACGAGCCCCTAGCTTAAAACCGCAGAGCAATAATAAGTTGCAACGCAGCTGGGAGAGCACAGCTTCGGATTGTGGAGTGATCCAACTGTAGCCGGTCGGACAAATCATACACTGACTGCCGATCAAATTTATAAAGCGAAATCAATTGCTCACCATTAAGCGTATCTAAGGGGTTCTCCCGGTCGCGGAACACTCTTTTTGGGATGCGTTCATTTTCCTTATTTATTATCATAAACTCGGCCATGTTGTAGTTAAGGTACGGTTAGAGGTACTTTATTCTTTTTTACTTAGTTTGGTTGCTAAGGTCTTTTGTGCAACCGTTAAGGGATTCCTTATAAGACCAAGATAAGGAGAAAAAATACTTAAGAAAAAAAAATTAAGGAAACCTTAAGGAGGAGACTTAAAGGTGTTTTGTGCAACCGACTTTATTTTAAGGAGACCTTAACTCGGACTTAAAGGAAATTCCAAACACGGAAGTACAGGGAACGGGGTTTATTAAAGCAAACAGGCAGACAGAGCACAATACGATTGCGATGTTAATGACGGAACTGGAGATACAGACTCTGACGTGGACTTAAATACACAGGACAACTCAAAATAACAGGAGACAGCTGATAACAATCAGGAATTCACACGAGTTTAATGAGGGGGCGTGGCACACGAGAGGATCGAACGAGCAGGTCATGACACTTAAGGTGTTTTGTGCAACCGGCCCCTGATACTCACAGTCCATTAACAACTAACATAATGTTGAAGTGGCTGTGAATTCTTGGACTCGTAATATCACGACCGAAGCTCTCAAGCTGTTTACAACCAGGAAGGAATACTATTGGTTTCTATTAAAAATCTTTAATAGACTCTTAATTTTAAATTAAGAGTCTATTAAATTAAAGGGTATTCTGTCACCACATATTTCGTTTTGACAATATATCGATATACCATAAAAGTTCAATATACCGCCCAGCCCTGTTAGCGAATGGATAAATCACTATCTATGTGATAGAGGCTTGTGTGTTTTGCACTCCCCTTTTGATCAAGTTTGGAGTTTTCCATTATTGTTTGAGCAGCCATTGACAGCACAATTTCTTCCTGATTTCCTGGACATGTTTGTCAAAATAATGATAAATATGCATTAAAAGCAAAAAGCAGAAAATATGACACTTTCAGAACAGCTTCCATTCTTGCACATGTATGTTTGTAGGAAGATGCCATGGCAGTAACCGCAGCTTCTTTATGTCAGGTACATCACTGGATTACTCTAGCTTTCAGGATGTAACCCTGAGCAGGATGAGAGGAGGGAGGGATGGATGGATGGATGGATGGATGGATTGATTATTATTATGGGAAGTTACCAGCAAGTGTGTTAAAACCTAAAATGCATGCATAGTTTTTCAAGCCAAACTGGGGCCATATAGGCTAACTAGATTCAGTTAAGAAACACAAACAAAACAATTGCATGTTTTATATAACACAATTAAAAATTTGAAACTCTAATCAGTTAAAGTTAATCAGTCTAATCATGTTAAGAAAATGATTGATGTCAACAACAGTTGTATGTACATACTGTTGTGTAGAGCAGGATGAACGACCCAGCACAGGAGTTGAACGAAACACAACAGGGTTTATTTACTGAGAACGGAACAGAAACAAACTGGATCATGGGGCAATCAAACAAAAGTGAGGGCAACCAGAAACCAAAGCAGATGGGAGCAACAACATTAATGTCAGGATTGGGGAACACAGGACTGGAAAGTACCTTTATACAGAGGCTAACAAGGGGGCAGAACGAGAGGTAGCTGGAGTGCACTACACAAGGGCAGGAAAATGGTAAGATTAATGCATAACAGGCGTGGCTCATTTGAGCCACACTAGGGGTAAATGGGAGTGGGCAAATAGACAGGACATAACAGCAAAGAGATGTCTGTGCATATTAATCTTAAAAATGGATATATGACAATATGTCAGTCAGCTGGAAAAAAGCAGCAGCAAAAGCTTTGCACACTGGCAGTGTGCCAGGCCTGCTAATGACTTTAAGATTAAAATTAGATTCAGATTTCAAAAGTGAAACTGGAGATGAAGAAAATGGGGAGGGCTATTTTTATCATGCCGGAGTAATTGTATGAAGGAGAAGGAGTGTAAGGAAATGACAGCCTGCAGCCCTGGTAAGGAGCAGAAATGATGCTGCTTAAGAAAGGGGCCGCTAATGGTTTTCAGAGAGCAATGGAGGCACACATTGCACATCAGTCACGCATACTGTAAATCCGCCTCACAGACCCCACATCCACTTCAGAGACTGCACATCTGCATCACGAACCTCACATCAATGACACAGACTGCATGTCTGCCTCATAGGCTACACATCTTACAGACCACACATCGACCTCACAGACTGCACGTCCATGACTCAGACTGTACATCATGTCGCATAGAACACACACCCACCTCACTGACCACCCATCAGTAAGACAGACAGCACATTTGCTTTGCAGACTGCATATGCACGTCGCAGGCTTTACATCAACTGCACATCCACCTTACAGACCGCTTGTCCATGGCTTTGATGAAACATGGCAGGCAAGATTCCCAGAAAGCAAAATGGCGGTGCAAGCAGACATGTGCATAGCAGCCTTTCCATGTTCCAATTTGGTGCTAAATGTCTTATGTCATCATCAGTGTTCCTCGACAGTATCATTGTCTGGATGTGCCAGTAACATGCACATCTGTGTATATGACCAAAAATTGCTTCTCCATTATCGCAAATGGTGCAAAAACACACTGGACATGGAGGTGCTTGAGAGCCTGCAAGAGCTCCGTTTACTACGCGGACCAGACCAGGAGGTATGGGCAGTATGGAGCAGTGTACCCTTAAGCAGTCTGACCAAACCCAGAAGCGCAGCAAGTGGGCAGGGACTCGCGCTCGGCTAAAAGCTAACGCAAGTAGACCCGCTGTTCCATCCCTTCTACTGCCAAACGTCCACTCACTGGAGAGCAAGATGGATCACCTAAAGCTCCTGCAAACTACACAAAAGGAGGTGAAGGACTGCTGTGTTTTAATTTTCACCAAAATATGGTTGCATGACATCCTTCCGGACTCAGCGGTGCAGCTCACTGGCTGCTCATTGTTCCGTGCGGACAGGGACAAGGCAAAGTGCAGTATGAAAAGGGCCGATGAACTGCATTTATATCAACAATGAATGGTGCAAGAACGCAAAGGTAATTTCATGTCATTGCACCATGATGATGGAGTTTATAGCAGTGAAATGTTGACCCTTCTATCTCCCAAGGGAGTTCAGTTCGGTTGTTGTGTTTGCTAAGTACCTACCACTTAGCACTAATGCTAATCTGGCGCTAGTGGAACTATATGACCAAGATAAGGAGACTGCTTGCAGACTGCTCATCCTGAAGGGGTCTTCATCATCGCTGGCTGCTTTAATCATGTTAACCTTAAATCAGTTCTACCTAGATTCCACCAGCATGTGAAGTTTGCTACGAGGGGTGAGAACTGCTTGGACTAGCTTTACACCAACCTTATAGATGCTTATAAAGTGATGGCCTGCCCCCTCTGATGCATCTCTGATCACATCTCTGTAAAACATCCTAAACCAGTACACATCAGAGTGTGGCCTGTGGGAGCAATCTCCAGGACTGTTTCGAGTGCACAGACTGGTCAGTATTTAAGGAGGCAGCCAGGGCAGGAGGGCTGTGTTGACGTGGAGGAGTACACAGCTGCTGTAACAGGCTATATCAGCAAATTCGCTGAGGAAATTACTGTGGAAGTAACCACAATAGCCAACCAAAACCCCTGCATGTCTACAGAGGTCTGGCAAATATCAAAAGCCAGAGACGTGGCCTTCAGATCTGGAGATAAAGCCATCCCCAGAACTGTGCAAGCCAACCTGTCGAGGACAATCAGAAGAGCAAAACGTGCATATGCCCTGAATATCCAATGGTACTTTTAGGACTTCAGGGATGCACGAAGGGCATCCAGACCATCACAGACTACAAACCAGCAGTCCCTGTCTGTGACAAAGACTCTTCTGTCCTTGACATTCTAAATGACTTTTGTCATTCATGCACGTTTTGATGCACTCAACAGTGAGGCTCCAAGGAAGTCCACCCTTCCCCCTGATGAGCAGATAACCTGTCTGTTTAGAGCTGCAGTGAGAACACTACCCAGAATTAACCCTTTAGTTTCGGGTCCTGTCAGCATACTTGACCGGATACTTAAAGAGGGTGCAGATCAGCTGGCTGATGTCCTCAATGATGTATTCAGCACCTCCCTGAGTCAGGCAGTTGTCCCAACATGCCTTAAGACCACCAAAATCATCATCAGTAATTGATGTTCAACATGCTCTTCGTTAAGCTGGTTATATTTAAAATACGTGTACAGAAAGCTCTGCATCGTATATTTTTGCACTATTTAGTGTTTTTGTTCTTGTGCACATTGTATTGTATCTTTTATATGTTGTTTTATGTAGCATCACAGTCTAGGGAGAAACGTTGTCTTATCTCACTATGTATGTGTAAACCGCTGCTGATGACAATAAATTACCTTGAACATTGAACATCAGTGACACAGAGCACACATCCACCTCACAGACTGCATGTCCATGGCTTAGACTGCACATTTGCCACATAGACCACACTTTCGGCTTACAGATTGCACATAAATGGCACAGTCCGTATCCCAGCAACACAGACCACACAGCAATGACACAGACCGCACATTCAATACACAGCCACCTCACATACCATGCATCTGCCTCACAGACGGCACATCAACAACACAGACCACACATTGCCAACACAAATCGCACATCCATGACACAGACCACATATTCACGTCACAGGCTGCACATGTGTCACACAGACCACACATGAGCAACACAGACAGCACATCCACAACACCGAAAATATGTCAGCAACACAGGCCACAAAATGGTGACACAGGCTGCGTATTCACCTCATAGGCAGTACATGAAACCGCACATCTGTGACACATATTGCACATTCACCTCACAAACCGCACATCCACCTCAAAGATCGCACATCAGTGACACAGACCACATGCATAGACCAACAGCCACCTCATAGACTCCAAATCCATGGCACAGACTGCACATCTGTGCTGGAGACCACATATTGGTGACAGACCGTGCATCCACCTCACTGACTGCAAATCCACTGCACAGACTGCACATTAGCGACACAGGCTGCACATCAATGGCACAGACAGACATATCTGCTGCTTCAGTCTCCTGCAGGCACCACCAATGGGGCGGTGAACCAAGCACACAGGATCATCAGTATTAATAATCTCATCATAACCCTGTGTCAAATGTTCTACTCAGAACATCAATTATATACAGGGCCACGACAGAAGACAGGTAAAGCTTAATATTTCTTAATTGATATAAAGTGTGCAAAATGAAAGAATTTTCATTCCTTAAGTCAGTTTCTTGGTACAGGGATTCTGAGAATAATGTGCACAACTAGGACATGTGACCCCATCCGTATTTTACAGTTTTTTCACTTGATATCAAACTTGCTTCCTGAAAGGTGCTTTGTGATGGAGCAGCTGTTTCTCCCTGCAGCATCCCCTCCTCCCTGCACCCCCCCCCCCCAAGGCTTGTGCGGTGCTGGACGCTCCAATGCAAGATTGCTGCTGCCGTCTCCCCCTGTTGCTACTCCTCCTTCCCCTCTGCTGGTTGCTAGGCAGCGGGCTCTTCCATGCTGGAACTTGTCACCTCATTGGCTGGAGCAGCTGCTTGCTGGGACCTGCTCAGCCTATCAGGACTCCAGATGAGTGCTCACAGCGGCCGGGCGAAGCTGCACTGTCCCTCGCTCTCCCAAGAAAGGAAAAGGAAGCAGAACAAACAGGAGCGTCCATTCTCCCATCCTGCATCGGAGTATGGGCCAGAGCGCCGGGGCCCCTCAGCGCTGGAGGGGAAGCCAGCAGGTGGGTCTCTCCCCGGGGGGGGGGCAGGAGGGTGGGGGGGAATGGTGTAAATGCCACTGTTTGCCCAGTGCACTAATGAGCCCCAGCCGCTGTAGCACACCCCCTAAGCCATGCTGCAAGAAGTCTGTATGAATTTCTCTGTGTGTATGTGTGTGTGGAATGGGGAGTGGACGGTGGGGGGTGGAGCTCAGCAGAGGGGGGCTGTGATCAAGCTTGCTATATCTGTCGACTTGTCCCTTAAGTGTAAGGAAATCAACTCCATCTTCACACTGGTCAAGGTCACGTTGTGGGTGACGACTTCTCATTGGTCCAGAGATCCATCTAGGCCACCAGCATGGCCCCAGTTCCTTTTCCTCATGTGGGATGTTAGGGGTAGGGGGGGGCACACTGTGGATTTGAGTACAGTCTCACTCTGCACTTTACTGTGTGTCCCCCCTGCATGCCACATGGGGGGGGGATCTGAGGGGCATCTTAGCTAAGGAGCAGTATCAGAGTCGTGTCCATGCACAGCTGCCCGCTGGAGACTGAAGGCTGTTTGACCTGACGAGGTGGTGAGGCTGGGCTCAGTCTGAACGCACCTCACGTGCGGGTGTTTGGTCAGGATTCGTCACGTTAAACCCACCTGGACTGGCTCTTGGCTGAACTGTCATGAAAAACGGCCCTCCCCCCATGTTAGCCAGTTGTACTGTGGTTGCAGGAAACTTCCTGCGAGGGCGGGGCCCCCGCCAGGTTTAGAGCAAGCTGAGTTACGGTCTGACTGTTTCATCAAATTTTAATTTCGCTTTATATTTGAAAGCGAGAAAGGCCCCCCTCCCCCCTAGGGGTGCTGCTGGACAGTACCTGGGTGCAATGGGATGCTACTTTCAAACTGCTTCAGTATCTGTTGTGTAAAATAAATAAAAGACATTTTCTCCAAATAGCTTCCATATCCTGACTCTTTATAGTTTTTAGCACTCAGCTCTCTGCTTTGAATTACTTACACATTTTTCATACACTCCCCCTCCCCATGTGTAAGCTTGAACACCCTGAATGTTACAACACCCTGATCATTACAGAAACCTGAATATTACAGCACACTAAATGTTACAGCATCCAGAATTCTAGAGTACTTACCTATTGCAGTTTTCTTGTCCAAGTCTGATTTTCTGTCTAAGAACTATATAATTGTATAAGCATATGCAAATAAAAATCAACTTCTCATCAATGAAAACTTCTATTTTCAAAGTAAAAGAAATTGTTAAACTTTACAATTTCCACCAAATTGCACTAAGCTGCGGGATCTTCTCTCACTTAAACAAGTCACCAAATAAAGTGCTCTGTGACTGGAACGAGGTACAAATAACAATTAACTGAAAAGGATTTGCTGTACACCCAACTTCACTTTTCATTTACCTTATCAAACAAGAGCAGGTGCAACACTGAATGCTAGAGCACACTGAGCACTAGAGCACCCTGAATGCTAGAGCACCCTGAATCTTAGAGCACCCTGAATGCTAGAGCACACTGAATCTTAGAGCACCCTGAATGCTAGAGCACCCTGAATCTTAGAGCACCTTGAGTCTTAGAGCACCCTGAATGCTAGAGCACCCTGAATGCTAGAGCACCCTGAATCTTAGAGCACCCTGAATCTTAGAGCACCCTGAACTTTGTGCAGTGCCACAAACACCATAACAGAAGAAAGGAGGATCACAGCTGTGTGTTATTAAATCTGACTAATGGTCTGAACACTTTTGGATATTGGATAACTGGACCTTCTTTTAAGCTCGCAGTGGTCCGTGTTGAGTTGCTGCTGGACACATAGACCATCCACACAGGGTGGGTCCCTGCAGCTGGAGATGTGAGGCTGGAATCAGGATACTGGATCCGGGGACGTCCTTCTGCCTGGGACTGTATGATGCTATATAGTGCCATCATACTGTAATAACACCGATTAACAGTTTGGAATTAAACCCTCTCACATGTCAAATGAGGTGCTTCACGCTCAGCACTCAGCCACTCGTTTCATTGTCCTGAGATTCTGCCTGGTGCTACTCTTGGTAGCCATGAAGTCACAAATTAAAATCCTTTCCTGAAAATTCAGTTAGTGTTCAGGAGTAACATGCTGGTATTCAGGGTGATGCAGTGTGCTGGGGTTATACACACAGCACAATGCGCCGGGCTTTAATACACTATTACATGCAGTTTGCTAGGCTTTTACATGCAGTGTGCTAGGCTTATACACACAGTGGGCTAGGCTTTTACACACAGTGCGAAGGGCTTATACACTTAGCGCAGTGTGTTGGGCTTTTACGCACTTTTATACGCAGTGTGCTGGGCTTATAACGGGCATTAATCTGAACCTGTGAGCAGACTGATCCCTTGGTCTGTGTCCTGCCAGGTGTGCTGACTGACAGAGTCCTTTTGTTGCACTGCTCCCTCATGGCACAGGGGCCCAGTCACAAAACCTGTGTTCCTGTGTGTTCAGAAATCCCCCACCAGCATGAAGCCACCTCATGCTTTTAGAAGCACCCGCTGTGGCGACACGGAGGAGCGGCGACTACCTGCAGGACAGGTGCCTGGGTGTCATGTAGGCAGCTGGTGCCGGGCAGGTTTATCTGTCACCAGTGGCAGAGTCTCTGAAGGTCAAACCGCATGCTGCCACAGTGAAGGAGTGTTTCAGTGACACTGTATTCATGTGCTGTGCTGTGGCTTTGGCTCGGCTTCTTAAAGCCCCAGGCATGATGAATCACCATGGCGTGGGTTACTGATCTTTCCAAAAGGACCCCATGAGTCACCTCTCCTCCACACCCCTGGGGGCTGCGGGGGTAGCTTGCCAGACTGTCACGATCGGCACAGGGAAGCAGGCGAAGGAAGCTGTGGATATGAACAAAAGGGATTTATTCACGGGGTAACACACTCCAAAACACATGTAGTGTTAATGACCAGATTGGGGAAATACATTGAACTAATGACAGCAACAGAAAACTGCTGGTGCACATGGGGAATCCACATGGGGTTAATGGGGCGGGTGTGGCACACAGGAGGATCACATGAGTGGGGCATGACAGAACCCACCCCCCCCAAAAGGCGCGAACTCCGGGCGCGCCTAAGGGGAGCAAGGAACAGTACCGGGGACACGGGACCTGGAAACAAAAGCAAAACATAAACGGGGTACTGGAAAAAAGACAGACACGCAGAACAGACACAAAGGCATTAGCCCAGACAACAACTGACAAATAACTGGGAAAGCAAACAGGCACAGGGGCAACAAAAATGTAGACACAGGGGGGACACCAACGGGAGGAACAAAGGGGCCAGGAGTGAACAAAGGTGAAACAGGAGGATGAGGAGCAGATACAGGGGAGGGTAAGGAGGCAAAGGGCAGGGGGAAATGGAGAGCTGTAGGGAACCCCAACAGGCGAGGGGCGGAAGCTGCAGGGGCAGCAGGCAAACGCAAGGGAGGGAACGTCGAAGGGGGTGAGGAGGAAGGCAGAGGGACCAACAAAGGGGGCGAGGAGGAAGATGAAGGGGACACAGGCGGAGGGGAAGAGGGAACTGAAGCCGCAGCAGGCGAAGGTACAGCCGGAGGACCGGCAGGTGACTGCCGAGCCGCAGCCAGGGGGACTGAGGGTGAACCAGGGGGCAGGGCAGACGGGACCCGACCCCTGCGCAGATGTCCTCTCCCTCTTCGAGACACTGAGAGCCGGGGTCCTGGCAGGGATCTGCCACGCTGTGGTGGTGGTTGGGGTAACCCACCCGAGGGGTGCACAGGGGCAGTCAGGGAAATCCCCGAGGGGTCCCACTTAAGCTCCTCCTCCAACTCCACTATGGAGGGTGGAGCAGTGGTCTGGGAGTCAGGGACCTCCCCGGGGACAGGGTCTGGGGCCATGGTAGCTGGGAGCACGGGAGCAAGGTCTAAGGGATCTGGGATGGACGAGCAGGGCATGACACAGACCAGACGTCTTTTTTTTATCTTATTTGCCTAAAATATTATTTTCAGATCCTATTGCTTTTAAAGGCATTTCTGGTTATTCTATAGAAAAGGACTACCTGTGGAGGGTTATTTCATCTTGTCTGTGAAGTTGGCCATTTGAGGTTGCTGGTTTCCTCTGAGTAACCAAATTCAATGTCACCTGCATCCAGAAATCCCATCCTCTTTCTCTCCTCATCTTCCTCTTCTTGTCTTCCTCTCATTATCTTCCTTCATTGTCTTCTCCTCTTCTTCTTCCTGTCTTCCTTCATCTTCCTCACCTTGTCTTCCTCATCTGGCCTTCTCTTCATTCCTTCCCCGCCTTCATCTTTTTGATTTCATCTCCCTTTCCTTTCCATGTCTTCCTCTCCTCTTCCTCTCATCTCCTTCTCCTCTTCTTCCTCTCCTCTTCCTCTCCTTGTCTCCATGTCACTGGCCTCACTGCTGACCAGCCGCAGGTTACACGAGGGCTGTTATTGGATGCTAGAATATCACTCACAGTGGGATTAGAGCAGGGGTGGGCAATCTTATCCGCAAATGGATGCTGTGAAAGCAGGTTTTCGTTGCAACTCTCTAATTAGGTTACAAATTAGAGGACTGATTGGCTGAAGAATCCTCACACCTGGGTTTGAACATCTGACCTAAAGGTTATCCTAAAAACCTGCATACACACTGGCCTTCTGGGGATAAGATTGGTTACCCCTGGCTTAGAGCATGATGCTGGTGGGCTGAGTGAACCTATCTATACAGTATGTGCTGATATCTGCGAGAATGGGTGCCACCCTGACATAGCGAAAGTGCAGCAGTGATGTCCTGTGGATTTGCTAAGAATGATTCCAGTAAATATCCCTCCATCTTCCATAACTGTTCCCTTAAAGGCAGGGTAGGAGACAGGTGGCACCTTGGGTGGAGTGAGTTAGGTAAGCTTAGTGGAACCTTCCAGAGTTTTAGAGCAGAATTTCTCACTTTTTAGTCATTGAAGTGGCAGACTGACATTTTAGCTGTGCATTCAGGGCTGACAGACGAAAATGACAGTAGCAGCAATTATGGA